ATTCTATGGGCATCCCCGTACAGTAGCCAATGTAAGGCCCTTCTCTCGAAGAGTCCCAGTAGGCAGATATATAATAGATGAGGCCGCTGGACAGACTCTGAGTCGAATGTCGATGCACAACCCTTATCTGAAAGTATCGGACCTAGTTAACCGCGCGCTACAGCACTAGATCAACGACAACTTTCGGCTTTTGGCTTTCATGTGTCCCGGGGGCCCCTTTGGGCTCCAGGGGCCCGATGCCAAGGGGTTTATAAGAGCGGCCGCGGTTAGAAGCCGGCGGTCTCTAACAAATAGAAGATATCTCTTCCTGAGGCCCCTCCTCTCTCTCCCCCTCACTCTCTCTCTCTCTCTTTCTTATACATATATAGTATAAAGCTTATACGTATATGCATATACGGTATAAGGCTGCATGTATATACGGGCCTGCAAGTCTCAGACTCGAGACGGGAAAATCGAGCAAAAGTCGAGCGAACCGCAGGACGAGGATGGAGTCAGGAACGCGGCAAGGAGTGCGGCGGTGGTGGATAAGGGATGGTCGGAGTCTCGCGAAACCGTATAAAATGGCGTAGAAGGAATTTGGCGGAGGGCTGTAAATATTATAAAGTGACGCTACGCAGAATGCGGGAGCTCCCGCGCGAGCTCAAAGGAAGGATCGCCTCGGGAGGATCGTCGGGACGGAGGATGGCTACAGCATCCAGCGAGGATCCAGGACAATGCGGCAAAGGAGAACGCGCGAGCAGATAGGCAGACGTGAATTACGTCCCAGAAGGATATACCCACTCTCGCCACTGTTCACGATGGGGAGTCCATAGGGAGGAGAGTCCTTTCTCTTCGAAGAAAATGGTTAAATACTTCTTGGTAAGCACGCGAAGGTCCGCCATGCTTGACCAACAATTTAACCGTTAAAATAAATATTCTTAAGGCATTGCTCGTACGTGTACATGGCATTTAAAAGAAGCCACGAATGCTCAACTGATTCTAAACCTAGTTTTAAGTGTTTCCAAACCCATTAAAATTAGCCTGTAAAATCATCCATAAACTGAAGTACCACAGGGCCCCAATGATATTAAATCAAAGGTGAAGAGTGAGCTATATAGGCATGTTCCGGGCTCAATAGCTCAAAGACTCTCATCGTGTTCTCAATTAATTTCTGATAATGGTCCAGTCGTTGCGACCGGGCCCAATCACCCAATACTCATCGGGCCCACTGTGAAGAGTCTTACTTCTTCGCTGTTGAGAGAAGTGTGGCACGATGATCACGCACGCGTTCAGCCTATAGATAGGGGCCGGCCATAACTTATTCACGTGTACAGGTATACAACCTGACACATAACAGTGTTCTGGGGTCGAGGGCCTTAGCGTGGCTCGGACATATTGTGGAAACGTAGACGGCAGTGGAAAGCCTTAAGATGTTACTAAGACTGGGACCTACCTTAGCAGGAGGGTACGGAGGGATGCTGGATCGGTCAAGAGTAAGAGTATAGGATATAAAAGAGGCAAAAGAGGTAAAGGATATAGCATAGGCCATTGCCGACTGGCCCTTGACCTCCGTAAAACCCACGTACCTTATGGAAGCTTCGAAAAGACCAAAATAATTAAAAACCTAATCATACTTGTGGTTTGGCTTAAACTATTTTTAAGTCTCTAGATTGTTAGTGTAAAATCTTAAAAGGCATTAAAAACTAGTAAAATTTAATTCCCTGGAACTCGGCTTGTACAAGGGATTTCCAAGGAGCAGAAAACAAACGGGCCATCCTCACAGACTTCCACGGTGCCAGCTTCGATATTTCCAGGAATAATTATCAACCGGTACCAGTCAACTTGAAATCTACCGAGTCAGGCAATAATATTTAAACGTACGCCGCTAAACGATAACTGAGTAAACGCTATGTAAAATGTGACGTAATGACTAAATATTTCTGTCCAATTTTTGTAATAACTTGGATATACATGTTTAAGCATCAAAAACATCTCAAAATAGTCTCCCATGTATCTATTTGATCTCGATCAAATGCATCTTATCTCAATTGGGTATTAGTCGAGTATTCAATTGTTCTTCGTTTTACTGAAGTCTGATTACAGTCCTGATCAAGTCGCTCTACTCGGACATTCAACAACAGGACTCCAATCGGACAAAAGTCGCTCTACTCAGGCATTCTGATAAATCCGCAAAAATGAATTTTTTCCAAAAAAATATTGCACGTTAAAAAACTATCAGACAGTCTAAATAAACCGACTTGATCCGGACCATAACGAGACTCCAATCAGACAAGCATCGATAAAAAGACTTGACTGAAACTCAATTGACATAAGAAAAACTCGATCGACATCAAAGAGATATACACCAGACTGTTCTCAGACGTGTCTGCTACCATTTTTACTGGGTAATCAATCGTTGATATAATAAGTTGATTAGCAGATCGTACAAACCACCTGTTAACCACAATTGCACGGTAGAAAATACAAGTCAACCAAAAAAACGAAAGACAAATAAAGTAAAACCGCGTCGAGGGATGAAACGAATCGGTCTAACCACAAAACCGGCAAACCGCAAGACCACAAGTCGTAAAGGCAAGTCCCCGCGCGCATGCGCAGAGGAGTTCTTATACGGAAATCTCTTATTATTACTTAGTAGCACGGACACGTGCTTCTGTCCACCATACTCAACCACTCAGCAACCTGACCTAACGTTATAATTTCACGAACGGGTTTTTCATTTCCCTACCCCTCCGCCCCCTTTGCCCCAAAAGGGATAAGAACAATACGCATGAAAACATTCAGAAATCATCTTAAAACACGAGCGAGTCATTCGCGTTCCCCGTACGATGACACAATGATGACCTGTTTCGCGCTGAGAATGATTAGCCTGCCAAAACAGTAAACTTGATCCATTTGTAAGAGTCATCGTCCCCACGAAGTACACTTCAGAGAAATTTTGAGCATAGCTGTCCGAGCCATTGAGAAACTTCAACTACCTTATACAGTCAGTTAAGAGATGTTTGATGCCGATCAAGATAATTGATCTCACCTTCGCATACGATGAAAGTAAATTGAAAGAGGCGACTGGTCCAGTAAGACGACTAGAAGCCATGCTGAGTACGATAATAGCGATTGTCTCTAGAATCTTACAACGTAAGGCCTGAACTGTATATCAATGAGAAAAACAATAGCATTATATACATTAGTATTTAAATAGCACAGCTAGTATTTATAAGAGGTATAATTACTGATCTATGCGGTACGATTAAGGATGGTAGTAGTGGGGAGGAGACAAGGGGGTAGAGATATAAGAAAATCCGATATATCACACGTGCACGGAACTTGGAATCTTATAAATTTGAGATACGATAGAGATAAGAGATAAATAAATAAAGGCTACGGAAGAGGCGCCAAAGTACCTAGAATACCAATGCATGGGGTTTCGCTGTGAGAAGACCGGGGCCCTACGAGTCTCTCGGGGTCCGTAGATCCATCGAAGGGGTCAGTGGTGGTAAACGCTAAAAGGAGACGGAGGATGATGACGAGTAGAGTGCCGAAGAGGATGAAGAGTATTCGGTCTGAGATAGGGTAACCAGCAGAAGTAGTGTATGGTGTAGAAGGGGGGCCCAAACCAAGGGAGAGAAGAGAAGGAAGACAGGTGATGCTGGGCCCGAGGCACGAGAACCACAGACGCACATTTACGCATCCTGGACACCAATACCACGCACAATTTGAACACACGTGCAAAGGCATTTTAACACACGGCATTCCTGTTGTCGGGTCCCGTAGGTGGTTCAGCTGGCAACGTGGCAACGTTAAGTCCGCTCTAGACGGGTTCTCAGCGCGATGAAGAAACAATAAATGGACTTTTAATCGGTTACTCGAGTAATCTTGACGAATCAAACAAAAACATAACCTTAAAACCACGTCGTGATACGTTTAAGGATAATACAGCGTTTACGTGTGTGACCACCTATGTTGCCGGAAGCATCATTATTATTATCCTACCCCTACCACCCCCCTTTTCTTACATCCAATTCGCGGCCAATCAACCAACTCGCAATTGGCCCTCGCCAACTGTTTACAACCGATTTACAAGTCCGTTGAGGATAACATTATCAACGTATGAGAAATCATGTAACCGTTACGTCGTTAACAGTCAACGAGGTAAAAGGTGAAAGGTAACTCCGAGGGTACAATATCCAATTGCGTCAACCGTTAACGTCACAACGGATATAAATAAAAAAACGCGATATGACGTTGACAAAAAATTTGCCAACTGCCAGTTTTTTACTTGCGTAGGATGAATAGGTATCCACTCGTCCGAAACAATTTTTGTCCAGTTAATAAACCAATGAATCACCCCAATAGTATGATTCACAGTGTTAATAATTACGGTTACACATAGGATTATGAAAAATGCGTAAGATGGTTGTAAAGCTTTAATGAAAGATAAATTTTCATATTGGAATATTTGAACAGGTACGTTACGAAGTAAGATAATAATAACCAGTGACAATTGGCTAATCAATTACGAAAAATTAAATACCGCAATCTTCATTATAACCATTAATCTATCATTAAACACTCATAACAATCCCACTTATACAGTATCAATCATTACGCCATTTCCTACTGATTGCTCGCCGACAGTTACCTGGAGCACTGTAACGAAATGGGTACAGCCAAGGTATACTTAGCCTATTACGCTCCATGAGGTATCTTTACTAAACAAAGAACGTAAGTCCCATAATCTTCGCTTGGGTCTGTTCATAGCGAAGATCAATTATTGTCACTGTTGAATAATAAGGCGACGCTTGGATTGTGTGTATGCATAATTATAATATATCTAATAGTGAATTATATATCTATATTTACATTGCTACGTACTAGTCCCGTATACATATCTTTACATCTTACATATGTATTATACATATAAATATCTCATTGTACAGATACGTACCTAACCCAACCTACCTACTACAAGTCTCCGCGTTGCGCGTCGTGTGTATAAAGTTACCATCGTGCGTTCGTCGGTTCATTCATAGGGGCCCAGTGAATGGCGTAGTGAGTCCCAACCGTGTAGTACTCGTAGTGCTTGCCCCGAGCGGGCCCGTTTCTCCGTTGCTTCTCAGATATCTCATACTTCTCATTATATCTCTGTCTTTGAGATATCATATGTGATGAGTACTCTCATAATCTATTACATTAGCTCGTACTGTATTTCGTGTAACAATTGAATAAGATACGTAAGTATATTACTGTGTAGAGTTAAATATACAGATCAATGTATACTCAATGAACTGTACTCAGTGGCGAAATTTATTGAGACCGAATAAAATTAATTAATTGATCTTGTCACAGTGTCAATCGAGTAAATTAAAGAATAAAAAATTAAATTGAAATTGATTGTATTTCAGATTCTTTTATTTTTGTATATCGTTATAAAATATTTATGATTAGTGGCACTTTTGTTGTCGGTATGTTATTGTTAAAAAAAAATGTATTTTGCAGAGCGAATGACGTCAGAAGTTGATTCCCTAGGATATGTTTTTTGCAGTATCTTCTTACAAGACCCTGAGCTTCGTGTCTTCGTGAATTTAATTATCTTTTTATTTTTGGCGGCTATTGAAGTATACTACGGTAATTATATATGCGTTAAGGATAATTTTTCTTCTATGATCATGATTAATTTTATCTTGTTTGTTTTTTTTAGAAACATTTAAAATCCACAAAGATACATATAACCTCTTCTTTTTTATACGTCTAGTATAGGAGGCTGGGTCCATATTGTTTTTCGTACCGGTTGGATCTCTAATGAACTGGTTGGACCGCAGGTCAAACGTAGCATAATCGCCTTAAAATCTCAAGTTAAGTTCGCCTGCCATGTATGGCGCCGGCTAACGGGTAGCCGAAACCTGTCCGAGTCATGTCCGACCTTTACGAAAGTCGTATCGAAAGAACGCGTAGCTATATATAATATAGTATATTATATATGTATATATAACTATATGAACATATGAAAATTATGCTCTATGGGTCATGAAAATATTTGTAAGTTCACGTACGACACTCCCATAAGGATCGACGTAGAATTCTGCATTACCAATATACATACAGAACGTATATATTCCAAAGATGCAATATAAGATGCTTGTGCAGCATCCTACCGTATCGAGGAACTAAGGCCCATTTCTATAGAAATTTTTGCGATCGTTACCCTTCGGACCCATGGGGAGCCGAAAACATCTGCCTTGAGATTCTTACGTTACTCTGGGCCTCCCTGACGTGGGACTTGCACGAATTTACCGATACCTGCCTTTACAAGGTAGCTGTGAAATTTCTACAAAATATACAGATGTCGCTAATAGTCTCTTTCGCAATTTTTTTGTTCACGCTAAAACCACCCTACACGTTTTTCTCTTAATTTAGGTATACTCCTTATGGGATAACAGCCCGAAATTTAGTACTTGTCAGCGACCCTGGATTTTGAGGTACAGGACGTTTCCCTTCGTATAGCTCGGAGCGGAATTCATTTTCTAGCGACAGAGTCAATACATCATCCAAAGACAAGACAGGCGTGATTATGGCGTCCGTGCCAAGTGGGTCAAGGACTCGTACACAATTCTTAAAGAAAGAAATAACTGATTCCAACCGGGCCCAGTTGCACGCGTCCAGTCGTGAAGTCTCTCTAACTCTGATGCAACCAACTTGACCCAGTCTTGTTTCCAAGCTTTAACTCTCGTCCTGACCTCGCCCTTGCCAAGTAGGAACACCATAATAAAACCCGCCATAAGACAGTGGGGACCTCGCTCTCAGATTACCCAGATAACTTTAACCCAGTCGTGGCTGACCGCCCATCATTCATCAACCCCACCGCCGCTCTCTTCGACTCTCTTAAGATCTTCTGCTGCACGGAGAGAGAGAGAGAGAGAGAGAGAGAGAGAGAGAAAAAGGTAAGAAGGAGTTTCATTCTCCCTATCTCCATCTCACTCTCTTTACCTACCTACCCACCTACCTTACCTTCCTCTCTGCCTACCTACCTGCCTACCTACCAATCTCTGCATACCCTACGATAACGGATAAGAGATAACTCTTCCACGCTACTCAGAGACTCCAGGACTTGCCTTATGAATGAAACCCCTCTGCCGTTCGTTCAGGATGTCGTCTACCTTTCTCAACGGCCCTGTACCACCAGCATCTTGACATATCCATATACCTTTGGTACGTCCTGTATATATATATATTGTCTGCAGACATCTCCACCTCTCCGGTGAATAATCCAAAAGGGTGGGTACCCGATGAATCGCAGCTATCGTGCCAGCCATATCAATTATCCATACCATTGCAGGAATCCTGGGTACAAGTATTGATAATTCGAGATAATACTTGGTACCGTAAAGACTTCGTGGTACGAAGATGCTGGAATTTTCGCTTGGACTTCCGAGAGGATTTTAGATTTTGGATTCGAAGATTGAAAAATTTAAAGAGACCGTCCAAAGACCGGTAAAGGGATCGAAAGACTCGGCAGAGACTCTCCGGCCAATTACCTCCAATATTGTGACACGGATTAACGTCACGGCAAGTTGGGATTTGCATCGTATTTGCATAATTTTGGTTGCACCTCGCGCCGTAATCCGGCACCAGTGACGTCACTTTCTCGGGCACGTGGTCCCTGGCTATACCGCATATAGTTCCACCGTGTACAGACCAAAGCAAACTGAGACCTACTACTTCAGACCTCAAAGTAGCCACATGGGACTCGGGAAGGTAACCTCGCCTCGTGGTTGCGGCTATGAGGACCGCGAAAAGTCACTGATGGGGAGGAGAAGAGGAAGGTCGGAACCTGAAGAGGATGAGAACTCGGAGAAGGAGGCCCCGTGCGGCCCACGCGCACGTTCTCCCGTATCCACATATCCACATACCGGTGCTTCGTACGTTCTCTGGGTTTGGGCCCTATAGCAGTCAGGCCCCCGGAGAGCCGCGGCTGTCGGCTCGGGTCGCACAACTGGTTTTTTAAACGTAGCCAACGACGATGGCCACACTCCTCCCCGTTTCCTTTACTTTCTTTTTCTTTTTTCTCTCTCTCTTCTCTACCCATTCTTTTTTTTACTCCTCTTTATAATCGCCAGTCCATACTCCTCGAGGACCCTTGGTCCCCACGAATTCCCCGGCGCTATTTCACCATTTTTATTCGCAACTGACACCAACGCCGTTTGCTTCCACCGGACTACCTCGTGGAGATCATCCAGCACTCTCTTTTCCCACTGAAGAGACGAAAGACTGATAACCCCTGTGATAGTCTAATTATTTTGATAAATGAAGAAAAATTTTCACATTTAATTATCGATCCCAACAAACCCACTGACTGTGTTAATAATCCTGGATGTAGTCCCAAAAAGAAATGTCACTACCAACCATAATGAAATTTCTAGTAAGAAGTACTTCGTGGACCTTATACCGAAGTACTGGTATGTCCTATCGTTACCCAGTGCCCTAAAAGCCAGCGAAGGGGAGGTAGGAGGTATCAAGGTGAAATGACATGTGGGTACTCGTATGTGCATAGTAGAAGCCAGTAGGTGAGGACGAGGCCGCTGAAATGGCCGAAGCCATCCGAGAAGTGTCGAGTAAACAAATAATGAATACTTGGAAGTTGGAACGAATCTTTGGTAATGCCAGTCGGCTTCGTGTTCTATGGTATATAGGTAGATGGTACGTCGTCGACGCCGGGACGCCGGAGCGTGTTTCCTACTCCTTCGTAGCTTGCTCACCTCAACCTCAACCTCTCTGCCCACAACTCAGCTTCCACAGCTTGTGTACAATGCCGTGCGTGTCTCTCTAAAAACCACACTGACACTCCTAGAGAGACGGAATAACACGGCGTGTGTATAGTCATTGACGTCACTGGCGCACTTTTTGTCTACTTCGTGAAGACGCCGCGAAGAATCGCGAGGCGCCCGAAGCTACGGCGCAAGACGGCGTCTTTACGGTTTCTTGGAAAATTTTCATCAATTCACCGTTGCTTGTTGTGCAGTTCGTGCAATGATTTTTAAAAAAAAATTTATTAATCCTTTTACGTAATCGCGTCGACTGCGCTCTCCGGTTTTCCAGATTGAAAAAATCAATGTGACGGAAAGTCGAGCGCGAAGTCCAAGGCTGTCAATGAGAAGCCTGTCTTGTTAGTGTCAGTGGTTACAAGTTAAAAAAAAAGGTCGTAGAAAAGATAAGTAAAGAAAAAGGAAGGATCGAAGGTGGGAACGCTGTCGGAGTAAAAGGTTTGGAATTCTTATCGCGAAGCTGTTGTCGAATTGCGTCAGACTCGCGATATCAACTGCAGCTATATAACGTTGAAATAAGTAAAAGAGCGTGAGAGGGAGAGACGAAAAAAACATGGTGAGTAAGAGGAAATGAAAAAAAAAAGGAATAGCAAGAGAATGCTAATATACCCAGTGGAAACAAGTGACATTCCTGCAAACTGGACGAGCGGCACGTGTTTTCCTACAGAAGCAAACCTTATAACGTCATGATACGTCACTGTTGCCATAGCCCAACCGATATAAATAATTGGTCATTTTAATGAAAATTCAAAGTAATTCTAAAAAACCATGCCTCTACCGTGAAACGGTGTAGGAATAAATTGGACTCTGAAAAATTTTTCAAAAAATTTTTCAAAAAACTATTTCATCGAAATCCATCATTTTTGGTGTATCGGTTTATTATTATTGACCGGTTGTAATGCGACTATGCTGCTGTACTGATAAGCGCAGTCGCCACGTGTAAAACCGTCCAGTTGTACTTGGGTATCCGGCACCCTGACACCCTGGCGCAAACACACCCCCATATACACACCCGGAACCCGCACGGCAGCAGACTCGCAGGGTCGGGGAAATTAGTGGTCTATTCAATTATTGTAATTTACTTCTCAAACACAAACAGAACAGAATGCTGTCTCTGAATTCTCCCTGGCGTTTCTAGTCAGGATTGTCTGGCTCCCTCTTTCCTGCATCCTGTGACACGTATGTACATAGTACATAGCTATATGTATATCTACAGGTGTATATATATATATTTATATATATATGGATGGGGATATAAGTGCGTGTAGGGGTTGCGTGAACCAAGACTTGCATTAACCTACGCACCCACGTAACCACGTACTATCCAGTAAAACCCTTCACAATTTCTATATATATAGGTATATACATGTGTAATTATACCAGTACACCCTTACCACTTTGATAAACCATCCCCTAGTTCCGGCCGCGAATTTCGGAATTGTATTATTTACACGCACCAGACGAATAAACGGCCATGAATGGCGGTTCGTTTAACTTTAGGGATCTAAGTCATTTGCTGATAACTAATCGTGTTTGGAGAGTATTTTTGATTTTAAGTATCTTCTACAGGGAAAGCTTAGTCCAACCGATAATTTCTGCAAAACTTGCTTTAGGGTTACATGAGGATCTTTTTTGATCTCTATCAGTCTTTTCGAACCACACGGTATTATCTGTCATATTTTTGAGAGAGAAAAATCGGCAAAAAGAATAATACTGTCATTGGTCGTGCCACAACACCCGATCGCTACGCCATCTGCACAAAAAACTCAAAATGTATCTTTGGAGTTGTTATCTGTATCTTGCATCAGTAATACGGAAAATAATTTTAAAGAATGATGGAAATTTCTTCCATTATTACACCATATACTTGTATTCGTCGTTATATGTAAAATTTTTTTCACATGCCTGACTAATAAAAATCACAGGTAAGATAAGTTACTTCAATATTCATGATTAGTAAATTACAAAAATTTGATTTTGCGTGAATCAAGCTCAGCCGAAGATCGAAAACAAATTTTAGCAAAAGTTTCATTTTTATAAAAAATTTGGTTCAGATTATTTTTTAATGCAATGTATGAATAACCAGTTAAAAATTGCAACTACATGTATTCGGTAAAGGTGACAATTTGGGAACTTGTTTTTTTGAGAATATGACGGTTCGCGAACCTCGTGATTGGGGAAACTATTATAATAGGGATCAATTTTTAAAAAATTCTGTTTAAAACAATTATTGAAAAAATCGCCTCAGAAGGGTTGTTACGATTTTAGTTGGACCTGCAATTTTTCTCACAGGAGTTAAAAAAACCGTTGGAAATGGAAGGGTTTTTTTTTCTTTTTCTTTACAGCCGTTCGTTCACGCATTCATTGATCGAAGAATGATCAATATATGTATGTACGGGTCTGGGCGGATGGGTGCATTTCGGTTGGACCCTCGTTTGAATAACAGTGAAAAATTTCCCTAAACGGTTCCGGGCTGCAGGTCAGGCCTAGGCTGTATCGAATAT